GGGGAGGGGGGGGCGGGAAGCAAGTGATTGCAACACACTGTATTTAAACCACACTAGTTAAGTGTTTTATAATATTTCACAGTGTAAAATTTGTAAGTGCAAAGGTGTTTTCACAATAACATTGGCCTTGCATTCCTGTATCATTTGTCAACACCACATTTCGATACTCTACATCGTTAATGTCATACAGAAGGAAAAGGAAGCAGAGAGAAATGAAGTAGCATGGCTAAAAAGGGAAGCAATGCCAGAGTGGGGAATGAAACCTAGATGCCAAGCTCAGCCTTCCAGAGCAGAGCCAAGGAAAAGTCACATTTGTATACAACAGTTGGAAGGACTGACAGAGTTATCAGCAGACGGGAGAATAATATAATGGAATAAATATCACTTTTATTGTTCTCTGTGCCTAGGAGTCACAAGGACCTGGGAACAGCTCTTGAGATTTTTGAAACAATGTCTAGAACATTTTCCTTGCAAAGTAAATTCCATTTGTTTTAAATTGTTTGCGACTTCAGATTAAAAACCAAAGGGGTCAATTTAATATCCCATATTCTACCTCCTCCCCTTTCCCTATCTCCACACACATCCAGTTCCCTACCCAGGGAAAAGTCCCAGAAATGTATTTTGGAGAAAGCTTTCTGGGCATGATCCTTCTCAGCCTCTCCAGACTAAGGCCCTGAATAGAGATGGCAAAGCTCTGATACTGGAATTAGCTTTAAGAGGTGTCACATCATCATTCAGCTGATTCATTTCCACTCCTTATAATACCTTGTAGTTGCCTGGATCGTAAGTGAGCGCATTTCCAAGGTGTTCAAAAGCCTTCTGGTAATCCCCAAGCTGGAAAAAAAAGTAAATGAGCATCAGAAATTCAGGAATAAGTGGGGTTAAGAAGGAGAACATGTGGTTTTTGGGCACCAGAATTTCTGGTTCAGTTAAATATTCAGAAAAGTGAATTTTACAGTGCTTCTATTGCACAAACATGTTCTCATTTGATAATTTACAAAAGAGATTCTAAAAATTTCTTTTGCTGGACTGGATTCACTGTTCTGACCAAAACTAAAGTTTTCCTTACATACGGTTTATGCTCTGATTTCTCTATGCAGGAGTGAGCTCTGGGTTGATACTCCTCTGATCCTTCCTCTCTTCCAGCAAAGACGCTACAAATTGCTACTCTGCAACATCCTTGATTCCCCCACCACAACCTCCTCACTCCCCAGAGCACTTTTTTCATGGGAAAAAAAGACTTTTTCTTGTCTTCTAATGGACTGCAAGTGTTAGCAGGCGTGACTGTGTCTATATATAAGCACATGAGGGCTTAGAATCCCTTAAATCCTACTGTTTTCAATTGAGTTATGCCAGGATTATACCAGTCCAAACAGGATAAAATTCTGAATACTGGTATATTCTTTTGGTCACTAAAAAAAAAAAAAAAAAAAAAAAAGAGCTGTAGAAGTATCTTTAAAGCTCCTGAAGGCGAGTACATATCCAGAGAAACATGACAAACTGAACACACAAATCACAGCAGAGAGACCTGGGGGCTAAATTCACAGGGCCAATGTTATACTCAAGCTACTTCTATCTTACAGGTCCCCCTTCCCATGTCATATTCCTTTCTAAATCTACACTTAAGACATCCAAGGCTGCTATGAATTTCCCTATCTCTAGAGCAAGGCAATGTTTTTTGAGATCTATATTTTGTTCTCAATCATCTAAATGGATATGGAAATGCTTAAGGACGCCTTCGTTACTTAAATCAATTCTGATTTTCTTCTATGGTGCACTAACACTGGTAATTTCATGGCTCCTTTTGTAGAAGAATAACTTGCTAGACTCTTGCTCCAGAAGCAAGGTAATGACTAGTCATGTTTTGTTGCACTTGGAGGATTTATAACAGAATTAGGGCAGTTGCCAAACAGAATTCTTGCTGTGGCTCAGGTCCAGAAAAACAACTTGGTTTTAGCAGCAAAAGGAAAAAACAAGATACAGAAAAGCAAGCTCTGTCAAGTTAAACACAGTCTTTAGAGAAATGTGTGCAAATTGTAGGAAGGTGGATAGAAATTAACTCTATAAAAGAAACCTTGGTCATTTTTAAAATAATTAAGTTAATGTAATAGCTAATAGTCTTCAGTACCTGCAAGTAAAGTAACCCCAGCGTTGTAAGGAGGTCTGTGTTTTCTGGAGAAAACCTGTAATACAAAAGCCAGAGAGCTGTGTTGTTTATTAGCCCTTCTAGAATAAGGTAAAAACAGAACATGGAACTAACTATGCTACATTATACTAGCATCACTCTAGGAAATTAACTGTTATTATTACACACAAATATTATAACAATTGCCATCATGGGGATTTCCTCTGAACAATATTACACCTAAGCTTTCCAAATGTCTTCTAGATATAAACGAGAAGTCAATGTAGCTCTGTGAAATAGATCTGGATGCATAATAAGATAATGTGTTTTTTTTAAACTCCACAGTGAGTCTGCATCAGGGACCTGGAAATACAAAACGATATTTTCCATCATTTCCCATAAACCACCCTGTGAATCCATCCCAAGTCTCTTGGGCCACGTAGGACAGGCAATCCTCAGCATTTCTGATGGATCCTACACACACTCATCGCCAGACTTTTAATTTACCCTATGAAAAGATGACAAACCTGGTTTCACAGACCAGTTGTGGACTGTTCACAGCAGTTTTGTGCTACACACTGCAGCCCACAGACCCGAGTGCTCAGACAGGCGCTACCTGTTAGCATATCCCTGGCCGTATACACCGCTCCATTCAGCACAGAGAACCTTGAAAAAATATATCCCAAGGGCTTTTAATTACCATATGCAACTCCCAATCCTTCACTGCTAGTGTGAGCTTCACACAGCAATGTTGTGAAACCTTTTAAAAGCACCCCCATTCCCAGCAGCTTGTGAAGACATAAATAGGACGAAAAAAAACAACAAAAAAGAAAAAGCAGAAAGAGACACCGTATTAGTGGCCTCACTCAACACAATTAAGCTTTTAATTCCCTGCTATCAAGACTTAAGAAATCTAATATGCACGCTCACACTGGCACCTTTAAATCTCAGCCAGAACAAAACTACCTCTGCCTGATGGTATATAAACATGGAGCAGTGACAGAATACCTTGGAGCTGGTAACAGCAGGCAAAATGTAATAGGCAGATGAGAATTAAAAAAATAAAAAAACAGGAGTGAGGAAGAAGGGAGGGCAGGGGAGCACTGAGATAAGATATATTAACCTGGTAAGATGCTTAGCAAGGATTACTTATGTAAAAAACATTCTAGATTAGTCCAAATGTCTACCCAACCCAATATACTGTCAGACAGCAGGCAAAAGCAGATGTGTAAGGGAACAGCATGTGACAAGAGCTGGTACAAAATGTAGATTTTCCAGTGGCTTCCAACATGCTTTTGCTTTTCTTTAGTGTTCCTCTCCATTACA